TAAGAAAAGTGAAAAGGGAATCCCGTCTCCTGATCACATCTACCAGGAGGCAATCAGAAAGCATAATAATACACCAACATACATTCATCTAATTGTTGAAAATACATCTAATTATTGAAAATGTCCAAAAAGCCATAGAAGATCTCAGCTCATATCCAGAAACAGGAACTGGTGGCTGAAACAAATGAGCTGGAGGTAGACCTAGACTTCCCATTAGAAGGATGGTAGGCTTTGGAACTGGCTGATAAGGAATTCAGAGGAATGATATGAAGGTGCATCAAAATGCTGCACAGAAGGGTTGAGAAAAATAAGGAAGAAGTCAGGAAGGTGCTACAGGAACAATCAAAAAAGATAGAATTAGCAATTTGATAAACTTTAACTATACTTACGGATGCAGTAGCTCAAATTACCAACTGAGAGGGAAGGAGTCTTCACACTAAGGATCAAACCTATCCCCTCTGTATACAAAGTTGAAAGGGATGGGCAATTTAGACATTGGATACCTAAAATGGGGGGACAATAAAGGCACGAAGTGACTGGCTTACAAGTTTTCAAGAGGGAGTTGTGTTTCAGAGTGTGTGGGGGAATGTTGGAATCCCCACTGAATAGTTTTAGTCTTGTCTAGATGGGTCTGGTGAAAGGAGATGGAGATAAGTTTCTTATGACTCAGTAGTGAGTAACTGTTATCATGACTAATTGCGATTGTCACAACTGTAAAGGTAGAAGTTTTGTAACATAAAGTGGGTAGTAGTTAATCTTACATTCCAGGAACAAAGGCCCTAGGACCGTCAAGGAAGAAGAGCAGGAATAGAATGTGGGATGCTAACCAGAAAAGCAGAAACACCAGAGATGGAGGCAAAGATGAAGACGTGGAAAGATAGAACAGCTGAGAACTCTACACTCGTAAAGAGAAAGGCTGTGTGCTGGTGGCCAGGAGGCTGGCTTGTAGAATGTGCTCTTTGGTTGTTTAAGTGATTATATATTCCTGAGTGTTTTCATAAACATAAAAAATAAAATAAATGGAGGGAATAGTAGCAAATACTGTTGAATGATGAGGCATGGAGGGGATTGCAACCATTGCAATGAAACAAACTATGATAGGATGAGTGCAAAACTGAAGTTCTCCCATGTAGACTATCACTCAATTCACAACAAAAGCTTAAAAAAAAAGGGAGGGGGGCTAGAAATAGCATTGGATACAATTTAAAGCCTGCAAAAAGAGGTCCAAAAGATTAGTAATAAAATATCAGAAAGACAAAGGAATAGAATTGAAGGGATGGAAGCCAGAACCAGCAAGCATGAAGACAAAATCTCTCAGTACTGAAGACAGTCTAAGATTCATGTGAGACATGAGTTTACCTTTCTGGGATTCATTCAGCTACTTGAAAGCTTATCTTCTTGTATTTCAGGCTGTTAGGAAATTTTTCTTCTAGAAGTTCTTCAACTATCTCCTCTGTGGTCTTCTGTGATGCTTCCTGTTCTGGAAATGCCATAACCCTCATATTATTTGTCTTCATGTTGTCTCACATTTAACAAAATGACATAGCCATAATACATACCCGTGCTCCCAATGAAAGAGTCCTAAATATATGTAAAGCAAACCCTAATAGAATTGAAGAAATAGACAAATCTATAATAATAGTGGGAGATTTAAGTATACCACATTTGAAAAAGGATAGAACAACTAGATAGAAACTCAACAAAGACA